GGCGAAACTCGCCACACTGGTGGCTAAGAGCCAAAACACGATTATGATAAGTCGTCTCTCCTCATCTCTTTATTATTTTTCTCTATTATTTGCGTTTAAAAGTAGTTTTCATGTCAAAGTTATGAAAAGACAAAAAGCTCAGAAAACAGAAAGCTAAATTGTGACCAACAATCAAAGACAACGACGTTTTAAGCCTCTGAACCCATTCTTGTAACCATTTATAGAGGTTCAAACAGAAAATCTATTTTTTTATTATTTTTTTAAAAATAAATAATAAAAAACAAGTGTTGATGAAGCCTTTTGATTATGTTTTGTGATTCCATTTCATATGATTTCTTTTGTGTGATTTATCTCGTGATGTTTAATTTCAGACTATGTGCTGTGATTTATTGATGTACTTAATGAGTTCCAATGTGTGTATGTTGATGTATAATAGTTCTTATGTATGTTGATGCGTCCATTGATGTATACTATTTTTTTACATATGTTGGGTGCATGTGTGTAAGTGTGTCCATTAGTTTATTATGTTAAGCTTCAATGTTGACGCATGGAAAAATACCAGTATCATAATAACAAATATAGTAATAGAATAATAAACTCAATGTTACCAGAAAAATGAAGATGTAAAGGGACTAAATTGAATTATTTGAAATCAGTGAAATTTAATACTACAAATGCAATGTTTGGAAAATTATGCTTGGTTTATATGATATTCATGTTTTGGTGATGCGGGGCAAACCCTATTATGGATACAGAAACAGCAGCGCCCATACGGGTTGGGGCATGGGGTGATCGATTGGTTATGACACTCATACGAGTTGGGGTATAAGAAAAGTTGATGTTTGTGATGCCCACATGGGTTGGGGTGTGAGGTGACCAATAATTACGGTGCTCATACAAGTTGGGGTACGAGTACGACTAATGATTTATCATTGATTTCAAAAATGTTTGAGTATCCACAAGTAACAGGGATCCTTTAATATGTTAAATGGTATTGGTTAAAGAGACATTACGTGATGAAAACTAAAGATATGATGAGAAAGGTGAATTAATTTGATTCATAAATTATATTTGATTGTATATTTGATATGATATAACAGTGTGTATGCATGAGAATGCAAATTGTTCGTGCAAGTACGTGATGTTTCTTGATGGTATCGTGAATGAGAATGGTAGGTGATGTTTTCAAATAATCAAATGAATTTTATTAAAATATATATTCCATCAGTATTTTACTATTTTCTATAATACGTTGCTAAGTTGTTTTGTTGTTTGACTTTTGAATTCTTATTAAGTTAGTGTTGCTCACCCAATTCATTACTTAAATTTTTTATATTTAGACGTTCTGGACCCTGCTCCCAAGTAGTGAGAGCTTTGTTAGGAGACCTTTTTTTTTTCCATTTTACCTTAATTCAAACTATACTCAAGGTTATTTATTTATTGCAGTAGGTTTTTATTTTTAGGACTTAGATACACCTCACTAATATTAGGCATTTTGAGACTAACTCATGTAAGGGATGTACTTTTCAATTTTTAAATATTTGATATGCGAGATGTTTTTCTTAAATTACTTGTTATTGCTTATTTGTGACGCGATTAGAACTTCGAATGAAACTACGAGTTGTTACACAAAGACCTTGGCATAGTCTCCTATTTCCTTAGTGTTAAAGTCACTCATACACAAAATGGACTCTTCTTAAATCAACAATAATATCTCTTTGATATTCTTG